ATGATATTAGAATATTAGAATGGTATTGGAATGATATTAGAATATTAGAATGGTATTGGAATGACATTAGTATATTAGAGTGGTATCAGAATGATATTAAAATATTAGAATAACATTGGAATATTAGAATATTAGAATGGAATTGAAATGGTATTAGAGTAATAGAATGATATTGGAAGTATATTAGAATATAGAATGGTACTGGAATGATATTATAATACTAGAATTGTATTAGAATGGTATTAGACTATTAAATAGTATTCTAATGATATTAGAATATTAAAATGGTATCAGAATAACCCAGAATCTATACTGTGAGCAAACCACTTGTATGTGGTTATAAAGTGAATTCTGTGAATATACAAAAATCGAAAGGGGGTGTAAGACAAGGACTTATTCAATCTATTCAGTGCAGAATTAGATTTCTACATTTTCTGTTTTAAACCTGTTAAAAGAGGATCACGGCTATGTATTCTCAGTTTGTGCTGAACCCATTAAAATCAGCTTCAGAGTTCAGTACGAAACAAAGCTTTCTGATTGGTCCATAAATAATAATGTCATGTTTCTGCCTACGTCCGTACGGTTGACCTCGAGTTGACCTGTTCAGAGTTCACCGCGCCAAAAATTGGTAAGCATTCTCTCGATCCTCCCAAGTGATCAAGAAAATTCGTAAATATGAAACTTCGACACGACTTAGTGAGTCCTTAAATTAATCAACTCGTCAATTTCAAGAAAACAGAATGCATGGTTGTTAGCACAAGGAACAGACCAATATGCAAATTACAAATTGCAAATACCAGGAGCAAACAATTTAAATATCTGAGAAGTGTTTTAATAGAGTATGAAAAGTTCGACACTGTTATCTGAAGGCGCATTGGTATAGTGAAAGATGCCTTCCAAAATCTAAGCAAAGTAATAAGAAACAGAAAAATTTAATTATATATATATATATATATATATATATATATATATATAATAAAATTAACTGATGTAAAATATGTTTTTTTTCGCTACACAGTAATAACCATGTTTCAAAAAGGGAAGCTAACAACTTTAAATTGTGTAATTAAATTAAAAACATTAGTTCCATTTCATCCTCAAGCGAATTTTGGAGTAACTTATTTTTTTTAAAATTTACTGAGTTTTAACTGCAAGGGAAATTCATAATATACGGTTACCAAGGATACAGAGAAATCCAATCATCCAGACAAGGGATGGTAGCGTGTTCATTTTTATTAACTTTTGTTGTATCAGTTATTTGTTACGTTCGAAAAAGGGTTTAGGTACGGGTGGGGATGTATTTTTCAACGAATTCTGACATCCGTTAAATTCATGGCGTCTGGGTTTTGGGGGTTTTCTTTTTTTACGGCATTTTTTCTATTTGTATACTTAAAGATTTTTGGGGGCATGTTCAGGTTAGAATACGTTTTATGTAACTACTATTTTAAAATATTTTTCCTTTTAATTTTTAATAGACTATTTTTCTTTTTAAAACAAGTAAATATAATAGAATTACTTTCAGAATATAAAATTATTTTTCCATATCAAATATAAGTATGTATATTACCAGGTCACATTTTTTTTAAGATTTTATTTTTCAAAATATTATTTCAGGAAAATTTTTTGACAATGACAGCAAAAATAGCTATTTCATTTCTCTGATTCAGTAAATTTTTATATTTTATATATAAAATAATATATAATTTTGATATATAAAATAATATATATATATATAAAAAGTGTTCAATACTTATTTTTATGGATGAAATGTATTTCAGCTGTTTTAATTAAACAGTTTTAATTAAATTCTTCTCCTAAGTTATGTCACATATGACATTAATATTCTTTAAAGGACCGATTATGTAATAAGTATTTTTTTAAATGATTCTTTTAAATTTAAATACCGGCAGTGGGATTCAGGTATTTTCTGGAGTGGTATTTGTGAAGCCAACCATGTTACCAGCATCTTTAGCATTGGATCGTACGTATGAGTTCCACCTAAGGTCTGGGGTGAACTTGAACATGTAGCCTCTTTGAGAATGCAACCAGACATCGGGACTGGTGAGAAATTGGTTTTAGAGGTATTGAAAATTATAAGCCAGTTTTAGGAGAATTGACGAAGAATAAAAAAAAAAACAATGGATGACTGATGAGATTTATCGACATGATGCAAAGGAGGCAGAAAACACTGCCAAGATACAGAACGGAATACAGAAAATTATACAATGAAATAAGAACCAAATGCAGGCAGGCTAAAGAAGAGTGGCTTAACAAAAAAAAAAGGAGATTGAGTACTACCAACAAAGGAGATATACAAAGGAGATATGTTTAAACAAATAAGCGAGCTAACAGGACAGAAGACATATTCGTAAACAGGCTGCTTAAAATCAAAGGATGGAACGCTCATATTAGACAAGGAAAAAATCTTCAGCGCTAGAGAAAATATATTGAAGGACTCTTCCTCGACGAAAGAGAACAACCAGCAATACACAGAACTACCAACGGACCTGAAATTCTAAAAAAAAAAACGAAGCAGAAGCTGAACTGGCGAATTTGAATAGAAACAAGGCGGCAGGGCCAGACGGAATTGTAACGGAAATGCTGAAAGCCTTAGATGACTTTGGCATAAACAATATCATAGAAATAATAAATTAAATCTACAACAGTGGCTATATACTGCAAGATCTCAGCAGATCTATTTTCATGGAAACAAGCCAAGCGCAAACAAATATGAACTTCAACAAACAATCATCCTAATGAGCCACATAACAAAACATCATGCACATTCTGATGAATAGAGAGCATCAGAATCAGGCCAGAGATAGGACAAGAACAGTGCGGGTTCGTTAAAGACACCGGAACAAAGGAACAGGATATTCATGCCCAGAATATTATCGGAATGATCAATACGAATGCAGAAGGACGTGTACCTGTGTTTTATAGATTAGACAATGGTGTTCGATAAAGTCGACCACAAAGACCTGTTGGAACTGCTCAGCAACTTTGATATATTTGGGAAAGATATTAGAATAATCAAGAACCTCTACTGGCCTGCGTGCGGATAGAGAATGAATTCAGCCAATATACAAATATGGAAGGGGACATAAGGCAAGGATGAGTCTTCTCACCAGACTTATTTGACCTATACAGCGAAGCAATTCTAAGAAAATTGGCAATCCTACCAGGATTCATCATTGGCGGTCACAATCTTAACAACATAAGATACGCAGATGACACAGTGCTGATAGCAGACACGGAAAAGAAATTACAAAATCTCCTACAGAAGGTAGCGACGGAGAGTGTGAAGAAGGGACTAAGCATAGACTACAAGAAGACAGAATGCATGGTCATCAGTAAAAGGATAAACCCGAAATGCGATTTACAGATCGGGGACACTAGAATCAAGCAGACTCGGCAGTTTAAATATTTGGGACGTTAAATGCGACACTGAGATCCGTAGACGTATTGCGATGGCCAAGGACGCATTTCAAAAGCTGGGCAGAGCATTGCGAGACAGGAGGATATCTTTGGTAACAAAGAAAAGAATACTGAACTGTTACGTGATATCTGTCCTTCTTTACGGCAGCGAATGTTGGACGATTTCCTCAAAGGCAATTTTGAGAAAACTGTAAACCCTACGGGATTTAGCATTGGCGGCCACAATCTTAACATCATAAGATACGCAGATGACACAGTACTGATAGCAGACACGGAAAAGAAATTACAAAATCTCCTACAGAATGTAGCGAAGGAGAGCGAGAAGAAGGGACTAAGCATAAACAAAGACAGCATGCATAGGCATCAGTAAAAAAAAAGAGCCCGAAATGAGATTTACGGGTCATGAACACTAAAATCAAGCAGGTGCGGAAATTTAAATAACCGGGCAGCGTTCTGACAGAGGATGGTAAGTGCGACGGCCTTCGAACCGAAGAGGTATTAGGATGACTAAAGACGTATTCCAAAAGCTAGGCAGAGTATTACGAGACAGGATGTTTTCGTTGGTGACAAAGAAAAGAGTCCTGAGCTGCTACAGAAAAATCTGAAATTTCTTTATGTAATGAAAAAAGGAATGTCTGAAAAATCTGGTTCTCAAAAGGAGGATAGAAATATGGTCAAGGGTATGCAATGCATGACATACTTTACGGGCTTAAGCAAATGGATGGAATCTAACTGACAAAGCATCCCCGCGCAGAGAAGGAGAGCGAGAAGAAGGGACTAAGCCCAAACTACAAGAAGACAGAATACATGGTCATCAGTAAAAAGATGAACCGGAAATGCGATTTAAAGGACGAGGACACTAAAATCAAGCAAATGCGGAAATTTGAATATGTGGGAAGTGCTCTGACAGAGGATTGCAAGTTCGA